CTCCAAGGACGCGGTCTACCTAGACTGGATCCTCCAAGGACGCGGTCTACCAAGACTGGATCCTCCAAGGACGCGGTCTACCTAGACTGGATCCTCCAAGGACGCGGTCTACCTAGACTGGATCCTCCAAGGACGCGGTCTACCTAGACTGGATCCTCCAAGGACGCGGTCTACCTACACTGGATCCTCCAAGGACGCGGTCTACCAAGTCCGTGAAAATAAGGAGACCGGAAGAGTTTTGGCTGTGAATTCAAACAGGTCTGCGGTAAAACCCGACTTTCCAGGCGTGTGACTCAGACGCCTGGAAAGTCGGCCTGAATTGGGCAAAAATTGCACAGTCTAAGCTCAGCTTAAGTTGTGTGAATGCAGTTCAAACAGGAGATCACATATTAGTCGCATATAGTTGGAAATGTAAACAATACAGAAGAAAATGCGGAAAAAGACTATAACATAACTGAGCATTATTGCCTGCAGTGTGAAGGTAGCCTTTGTGTGACCTCTTTGATGTAACCCTGAGGCGTTCCGCTTTATTTATTTATGTATTTTTTTTAAATTTGTTTTTAAACATATTTTTTTTTATAGATTTTTTTATTATCATAGGAATTCCGCTTTAGCCTCTCAAAACCCACCGGGTTGCTGCTTTTAAAGCGTTTTCATCTAATAACTCAGAACGCATGACAATTCCATATTTATATAAATATAAATATTTACCAATATAGACTTCGCTGGAAAGCTTAGATTCTCCACAGTTCAACCAACAGTTCATTTTATGGACACAGCGAGCACCAAAGCACAATTAACACGGATAAAGCAGCGTGTCAAAATGTAAATAAGTCAAAGCAGACACAGCTAGCAAGCATGTCGTTATTACTGCTGTTCAAAAAAGACCGATTATTTTCAGAATAAATACAACAACTTTGAGTAATGTTTGGACGGATGCAGCTTGGCTTGTGCTTTACTCACACAGTTTTCATTTATATATTCAGAAACTAGAAGGTGTTAGCCTTTAAATAATGTATCACACATGTAATTTGGGCTTACAGTTCCTCAGTTATTTGCTTTTCCATTTGGGTATGCAGAATAGGCGAGAATTTCCCAAAATGAGTAGGATGTTAAGAACATAGGAAATGTTGAATGAATATCTGATAATGTGTTAAAGTTCAATCCACTGAAAAAGCTTCTGCAACCTTTACAGATTTCCTCCATCTGCTTTTTTGTCACTAGTGCATTTCTGATCACCAAGCTAAATGTAATATCAGCCCCAAAAAGAATTGCTTTCTAAGGACCCTTAACTGTCCCCTAAACCATCTGACATTTACATTGTTGTTGAGGAATCTTGTCCCACTCTGGACGATGGCAGACAGCGGGGGCCACCGAACAGACAGAAGAACTAGGATTAGAGCTTTCTGACGATCCTACCAACGGATGAACGCTAGGAGGCGGACCTGAAAGTGATTCACAGAAAGTAATCAGCCTTATCTGATCCATAACAGGCGTAATCTTTCTGTCCTCTAACTGGACTGTTAGCTCACTTGGTTGAATAATCAGAAAGTTCATAAACTTTCAAACTTCCTCTTGTTCTTCGCAAAGTTTCTTCCCAAAAACTAACATTTGGATAAACAGCAGGATGAAAAGGATTTTATTTATCTTCTACTGATAAGCCTAAAAAAAACCCTTTAATTAAATAAAAAATGTTAATGAGCTCAAATTATACTTAAAGAGTAATTTCTTATTTTAGAATAATTTTCCTTTGTATGATCAGATTATAGAATTAGTGCTTGTTTAGTGTTTGCTTCATGTTGCATTTAAGGAAATAATGACTGTGATCAACAATCAGCATGTAATAATTCATCCTTTAGAGAATTTCAATCTATTATATGACACATTATTTAACTAATTGTTTTCATACATTATTATGTTTTAAAGTAGCATATCTACAATAAATAAATGGAAAAATTGGATTATTAAGATAATTAAGATACAAAAAAAACGTAATTTATTTTGCACTGAAAAGTGTTTCTGATTGAAAACATCTGATTGGTGTTTATTTGGTTGAGTGCAGAGAAAAGCCCTGCTGGGTGTGAATGATCAGCTCACCAAATGTCCGTCTGTGTTTACCTGTAAACGATGCTGAAGAAGTAGTAGAGCACCGTGAAGATGAAGAGCTCTCTGTACAGGAGTTTATAGATGCTGCCTTTCCATCGCAGGAGGAGGTGGAAAAATGTCCCCAGACCTGCATCAGCAACTCTTCTAGAATATGTCACCGTCATTGCTGCTGCTTCCTGACCAACCTATGAGCTGCCAACATGAAAGAAACCAGCTTCCGGGTTCGTATGGCCTCCCTGGAGCTCAGCGTCTGGACCTCAGAAAGGTCAACCTGGAAGCAATTCCATAAAAATGAACAGAAGGTTTAGTTTTATGATATAAATCAATTCTATTCAGTTTATTTCTATAGCTCCAATTCACATCATGTCATCTCAGGTCACTTTATAGATCCAGA